GAAGGATCATGTGGGACTGAAGACTGGAGTAATGATGCTGAAAATTCAGCTTTGCATCACAGGAATAAATTACATTTTAAAATATATTCAAATATAAAACAGGTATTTTAAATTGTAATAATATTTCACAATAATACTGTATCTTCCATCAAATAAATCAGAAATCAGAATCAAAAGGAGCTTTATTGCCAAGTGTGTTTACACACAAGGCATTTGTTTTGGTGTCAGGAGCTTCCAGTACAGAAAGTACAAACATACATACATATAAAGTACAGACATACATATAATTTAAGGAAATAAAAACAATAATAATAAAGAGAATAGACAATAAATCATAAATAATATAGTAATAAAATACAGGGGAAAAGAAAATGTCAGTAGACAGAACTTTGAATGTGCATATGTGCTATTTACAGAGTTATTTGCAGATGTACAGTCCTGAGGTGTGTTATGTGTTGTTCAGGTTTGTTAAAGGGGTCCTATTATGCTCTTTTACAAAGTCTTGATTTTGTTTTGGGGGTGTACTAGAACAGGCTCTCATACTAGGTTGTTCGAAAAACACATTATTTTTCACATATTTTACATTATTACAACACCTCTCTCCCCAGTCCTTTAAATAAAATATCTCCTTTTGAATTGGACTTTGAGCTTTGTAACTTTGCAGATCTTTTTTATGCTCAAACAGCAACATTACAGACTAACTAAAGTTGAAAAAGTGAAAAAGCATAATAGGACCCCTTTAAGTAAATGCAGCCTTGTTAACCATAAATATTTTCACATGCTTAAAATCTACAGTAGTCTGAATGCTCCTTTACAGCTGGTTTGTTTTAAACTTAACTGTTCATTTTCTGCTCACAAATCATATGACACTGAACCTGGAGTCCGTTTGGCCATTATTTGAAAATTAAACATCCTGAAAGACAGAAATACAACAAAAATGTCCTCTGTGAGCAGCTCTACACTCATCTGTGGCTTTTCAAGACACATTCAGTATAGTAATAGCTATGGCTGCGATGACTGCAGATTTTCAAAAAACAAAAAGGTGACACTTAAATCATAATTTGCTCCGATGTTTTACATACACTAAAAAAATTGTGCAGAAACAATTTTCACTCAGAAACTGTTAACATGTTTAGTTAATTAAATATAACTAAACAGCACTAATTTAACAAAATCCCTTGATAATTAAAGCCTTGCATGTCTTATAATGAGGAAAATAAACTGATAATCCCCAGGTCATGATATTGCATTGTGAATTAGGAGTGTGTAGCTGCTCAGAGAACTGGAAGGAAACATCTCACTGCTAAACACCCACACAGAAGACCTGAGGAGATCTTCAGCTCTGGTCAAATGCATTCATATGTGTGTAAGAGTGTAATCCCAATGTGACCCTCCAAAAGCACTGTGTATTAAAACCACAATTTGATTCTCCAAGTCTCAAGGTGCAGGTCTCGTGTGTGTGTGTGTGTGTGTGTGCGTGTTGATGCACTCTTGGAGTCAAGCAAACACACTTCAGAACATGAAAAAGATCTTATACATTATTCCAAATACACCCATGAGACAGCAGAGTGCTGACAGAGATGACAACACACACGCATACCGACTCTTTCACTCTCTCAGCATCAGAGTCAATGCCAGCATGAAAAAGTACTGCACTAAAAATACACAAAGAGAGTCGAAGAGCAAGTAGCTCTGCCATTTATACAATTACACATTTCTCCTTTCCTCATCCTACCACCACTCTTGGTCTGTTTTTCTCACTCTTTTTCTGTCAGAAGCAAATTCATTGGTTCGTAAATAATCTGATAATTTGATATTTAAAGACTATCGGCATACTATGTCTTTACTATGTGGACTGGTGAAAAATTGTATGAGTGACTTCTGTAAAAGAAGAAAAAACTATATTCTGAAGAATATTGCAGTCCAAACAAAATGGGACCAGTGTTATTTTTGTATAATTTATATACTATTATAGAATTTAATAATATTTTGAACTAGCTTTTATTTTCATTCTCATCTTAATTTAGGTTTTAGCAATTTTGTTATGTGCCTTTGTCATTTTTGTAGTTTTTATAAGTAAATCCTGTTATGTTTTAGTTTTACTAATGTAGTACTTCAACTTATTTATTTTAGTTAGTTTCCAAGAAAACATTTCAAGGTAAGTTTTTAAAGTTTTTCTACGGTTTAAGTTCATCTAATATTTATATTTTACATTTACATTTAAATTAATGCAACTGGCAGACCAGAGTGATTTACATTTTATCAGTTCTTGCTTTTCCTGGGAATCAAACACATGACCTTGGCGTTGCTAGCACCATACTCTGCTCTTTATAGATATAATTAGTAATTTTATTTTATTTCAGATATATTTTAGTTACTGAACATTATTTTTAATCGATTTAAACAATAACAATCCATGGGACCCCACTGACTTTTAGTCAAAAAAAAAAAAAAAAAAAAACCTTTTGAGCCATAGAAAAAAACTTTGATTTTGACAAT